ACCAGCTTTTGATCTAATGAGTTTTCTCTATTGTTTTTCTATGCCACTGATTTTCACTTTGATCCTTATTATTTCCTTTCTGTTGCTTACTTTGGGTTTAGTCAGTTCTCATTCCTTAAGGTGGAGGCTGAGGTCACTGGTTGAAGGACCTTCTTTCCTGATTCAGGGGTTTAGAGCTATGAAATGCCCCCACTGTCCTGACTTAGAGACATCCCATAAATTTTGATGTGTTGTATTTCCATTCTGTGTAAAATACTTTACAATTTCTCTTTTGATTTCTTATTTGATCCACTGGTTATACAGAAGTAGTTTAGTTTCTTAATATTTGGGGACTTTTCCAGAGATGATCTTCTTATTGGTTTCTAATTCAATTCCACTGAGGTCTGACAATGTATTTTAATCCTTTTTAATTTACTGAAAGTTGTTTCATGTCCTCAAATATGGTCTTATTTGAGAAGATGCTTCTCTGTCGCTCTTGGGTAGCTGCTGCTGCTGCTGCTAAGTCGCTTCAGTCATGTCTGACTCTGTGCGACCCCATAGACGGCAGCCCACCAGGCTTCGCCGTCCCTGGGATTCTCCAGGCAAGAACACTGAAGTGGGTTGCCGTTTCCTTCTCCAATGCATGAAAGTGAAAAGTGAAAGTAAAGTCGCTCGGTCATGTCCGACTCTTCACGACCCCAAGGACTCTAGCCTACCAGGCTCCTCCATCCATGGGATTTTCCAGGCAAGAGTACTGGAGTGGGTTGCCATTGCCTTCTCCGGCTCTTGGGTAGAGGGTTCTATAAATGTTAATCAGGTCAAGATTGTTGTTGTTTAAGTCTACTACCTGTTGGCTGATTTTCTTCACATGTGTTCTATCAATAATTTAAAGTATTGAAATCCTTGTAATTGTGGGTTTTGCCAGTTTTTTCTATGTGTATTTTGAAGCCATTATTACATACGTAAATGTTTTAGCATCATTATGTCTTCTGATTCAGACCCCTTCATCCTTATGAAATGAACTTCTTTATCCCCAGAATTATTCTTTCCTCTAAAGTCTACCTTGTCTGATATAATATAGCCACATCAACTTTCTTTTGATTCCCAGTAGCATGATATATCTCTTTCCATCTTCTTACATTTAACCTACCTGGGTCTTGTTTTTAATCTAATCATATCGTTTTCAATCTCTTCACTGAGGAATCTAAACCTTTTACCTTTAATTTGATGACTGATGGTCAGATTTGAATGTATCACCTTGCTATCTGTTTTCTACCTGTCCCATATAGTCTTGTTTCCCTTTTTCCTGTCTTTTTTAAAACTATTTTTTGTAATTCTGTCTTATCTAATTTATTGCCTTACTAGCTCTCACATTTTGCTTGTCACTTTAGTGGTTGCTTTAGGCTTCATAACATACCTTTAATTTACTATAGTCTACCTTCAAGTGTTATTAAACTACTTCATAGATAAGAACCTAACAGTGGCATACTTCCCTCCTCCCCCATGACTTTTATGCTACTGTTCTCATGCATTTTACATTTCTATGTTATAAATCCTCCAATATATTGCTACAGTTTTTATTTATACAATTATCTTATAAAGAGATGTGAATAAGAACTAAGTCTTATACAATTATCCATTAATTACAATTTCTGTTACTTTGTTTTGTATAGATCCAGGTTTCCATCTTGAATTGCTTTTCTTCTGCTTGAGGAGCTTCCTTTAGCATTTTCTTATAATGTTGGTCTTATAATGTAGGTCTGCTAGCAATAAATACTTTCACTACTTTTACATCTGAAAAAGTCATTTTTACTTTCTTTTTGAGAGACATTTCTGTTGGATATAGATTGATAGTTTTTCCCCCTTTCATAGTTTAAAAATGCATTCCACTGCCTTTTCCCTTGCATTGTTTCCAGTGAGAAATCTGATGTCACTCTTATCTTTGTCTCTGTGTAATTTTTTTTCTCTGTTGTTAAGATTTCCTTTTTGTATTACTCAGCATTCTCCAAAGAAACAGAACCAACAGGATGTGTGTGTATACACAGAAAAATGTTTATAGGAATTGACTCATAATATCATGGAGGCTGTCAAGTCCAAAATCTTCAAGGTGGATCAGCAGACTAGAGACTAAGGAAAGAGTTGATGCTGTAGTTTAAGTCCCAAGGCCAGCACAGATTTCCTTCTTGCTCTGGGGAAGTCAGTCTTTTGATCTATTCAGGTCTTCAACTGATTAGACAAACCAAACTGCATCATATAAAGAACTTTACTCAAAGTCTGCTGATTTATATATTAATCTCATTTATATATATATATATATGTATATATATATATACACACATACATATATATATATATAAACAAACACACTCACAGAAATATCTAGAACAATGTTTGACTATATATCTGAGAACTGTAGCCCAGCCAAGTTGACACATAAAATTAACCATCACAAACTATCACTGGCTTTAGTAATTTCACTAGGACATGACTTGGTGTACTATCTCTTGTGCTTGTTGTTCGATGAATATCTTGGATTTGTTATTTATCTTCAAGACTGGTAACATTTCATCCATCATTTCTTCAATTATTTTTTTTTATCCCTTTCTCTACACCCTCACCTTGATATATTAAAATATTAGGTGTTACTCATATATCAGGTGAATTAAAGTTGTTCTATAGGACACTCCCCTGGGAAAGGAGTAGGACGAGGCTGTATTGTCACCCTGCTTATTTAACTTATATGCAGAGTACATCATGCAAAATGCCAGGCTGGATGAATCACAAGCTGGAATCAAGACTGCCAAGAGAAATATCAGCAACTTGAGATATGCAGATGATACCACTTTAATAGCAGAAAGGGTGAAAGAGGAGTGTGAAAAAACTGGCTTAAAACTCAACATTAAAAAAATGAAGATCATGGCATCCAATCCCATCACATCATGGCAAACAGAAGGGGGAAAATTGGAAACAGTGACAGATTTTATTTTCTTGGGCTCCAAAATCACTGCGAATGGTGACTGCAGCCATGAAATTAAAAGACGCCTGCTCCTTGGAAGGAAAGCTATGACAAACCTAGTCAATGTATTAAAAAGCAACAGACATCACTTCGCTGACAAAAGTCCCTATAGTCAAAGTTATGGTTTTTCCAGTAGTCATGTATGGATGTGAGAATTGGCCCATGAAGAAGGCTGAGTGCTGAAGAATTGATGCATTCAAATTGTGGTGCTGGAGAAGACTCATGAGGCATCCCTTGGACTGCAATGTGATTAAACAAGTCAATCCTAAAGGAAATCAACCTTGAATATTCACTGGAAGGACTGATGGTAAACCTGAAGCTCCAACATTTTGGCCACCTGATGCGAACAGCTAACTCATTGACCCTGATGCTGGAAAAGATGAGGGCAGAAGGAGAAGCAGGCAGTAGAAGATGAGATATATCCTATCTAATGTCTCCCTTTCTCCCTCCCATCACTGCCTTACTTAATGGCTAAGGGTCCCACAATTCAGCCTTAGCATCATGGCAACAGTTATCCTTCCGAAACGGATTTTTGATCACACAGCTTCTCCTTGTTTAAAATACTCTGATGTCCCTCCACTATTTACAGATAAAGCTCAAATTCCTGAGCACAGCATAAATAGTTTGCCAAGATTTGGCCACTGCCTATCTCTTATGACTCCTGACATTCTACCACATGGAAATGTGGTTCCCAGGAAGTAGCAACCTGTTTCAGGCCTCTCTGCCGTTACACAGACCTCCCCTCTGCCCCCCAAATCCTCTTTATTCTTCTACCTCACTCTCTTATTCTTACCTCTTGGACAAGCTTGCTTGTCCTCAAGATCCAATGGAAAGAACTCCATCATGCATCATCCTTTTCTCCCACCAGCCCAAGCAAAATTGATCACTCCTCCTTTATATATTTCTAGACACAAGCTTAATGTCTATGTGGACAGTAGACTGACTCTCTGGAATGTTAACTAGAGTTTTCCCCAGTTTCTAACCCTGGATCTAGCACATCGTGCTTGCTTGTGCTTGTGTCAGTTGCTAAGTCATGTCTGACTCTTCTGTGACCATATGAACTGTAGCCTGCCAGGCCCCTCTTTCCATGGGATTTCCCAGGGAAGAAAACTGGAGTGGGTTGCCATTTCCTTCTCCAAAGTAGGTGCTCAAAGTAAGCTGTCTGAATGAAAACTCTTTTTAAGTTTTTCAGACAATGTCTCAGCCCACTCCTCCCACAGTACCTCTGTTTTTCATTTCCTTCAACTATTCTTCCATAATTTCCTTTAATTAACACCTGTCTTTCATTTTCAGGTGAAAAAGAGGAAGTATTGAGGGAGTGACAAAAGCTCTTGATAGCACTTTGAGCTGGATAATTCTTTCTGGTGGGGGCCCATCATGTGTACTATAGGATATTTAACAGTATCCTTGGCTTCTACACAAAAGAAGTCACTCGCACCTTCCCCCAGTTCTAAGAACCAAAATGTCTCCAGACATTACCAAATGTCCCCTCAGGAGTAAAATGTGCCCTGACTGAGAACCACTGCCTAGACTGACTTTTCTAGGCTACCTCAGTGAACATGGTAAGCCTGAATGATGGTCCCTGTGCCCACCATCTTCCAGGGAAGAAGACTGAGATTATTACTTGTACCGTGTAGGGAGTGTGTGACCAACACAAGTAGGTTAGGGTGACACCTCAAGGGAGAAAGACACTCAATGGGTCTGAGATGAACCCATTTGTTACAGTACTAGGATTCTAGGCTGCAGAGTTATTTTCTATCAACATTCTCCTGGCTTGATTTATTCAGTGGCACTGAAATGACCAACTAGAGGGATGGAAGGTACAATTTAATGCTATTAAAGCCTCCTTTAAACATAGTTTGAAAAATAAGAGTATCTGAAAATAAATAATAAATTCACTGAACCATCTCAGTGAAATGAGGGGATCCCACCAAAGCATAGGAAGCAAAAGAGAGCATCTCAGGGGTGAGGAAGAAAAGGATGAGGACCCTGGTACAGTACCCACCTGTTGTTGACACAACACTGTCAGGGCTTTCACTGCAGAGCTTGGACAGCAGGCTGGTCTTGCCAGAGCCCGTGAGGCCTATGCAGACCAGGTCATACTCCGGGCGTGCAGGCGGTGGACCCTTGCAGCAGAGTGCTCTAAAACACTGCCAAGAGAGGGGAAATATGGCTCTTTAATAAGACTGTAGAGGCAAAGCATAGTCACATTTTAAATGATCACATATTGAGAAGTAACCAAATAACCTATTCATTCTAAGGAGGAAAGGGGCGTTGATGGTGAGAGACCCAAGGATATCACCTTGACTGAGCAATCAAAATTAATATCCCAGAAATGAGACTCACAAGGACTTGAAAACCCCCTCCTGCTGTGATGCAGGCACTGCAAGGGGCATCACGTCATCGCACTACTTTCCTGTCAAAAATGCACCACCACCATCCGAGCACCAGGAGGTCAGACACCACCACTGTGAGGAGCATTCCGCAGAACAATTAGCCTGCTCTCCTCTAACATCTCAAAGAAAGGCTGAGGAACTGTTTCAGGTTAAGGAAGACTAAAGAGATGTAATAATCACAATGCCTCCTGGACTGGATCCTGGATTGGGTGGAGGAAAAACACCATAAACCAACCTTGTTGGGCAACAGATAACAGCTGAACAGAGACTGAATATTAGAACCTGCAATGATAGTATTGCATAAGGTTAAATTTCCTGAATTTTATCATTGGACTATGGTTACCAAATGAATATCACCGTCCTGAGAAAACAAATACTAAAGTGTTTAGTGATGGAGGGTCTTGATATCTGCAGTTAACTGGCTAAGGACAATTCTAAATCTCTACCTCCATCACCACCTCCACACCTAGATGGTGATGAATGTGATAAAGCAATCATGGTAAAATGTTAATGACGGAGGAACCTGAGTGGAGTCTAAGGGAAATTCCACATACTAGTCTTACAATGCTTTAATATTATTTCAAAATAAACTTCTTTTAAAATCATTAAATCCAGTTCCCACATATATCACTGTCATCCTGACTTTTGAAACATTTTTTGCATGCGTAGTCACTAAGTCATGTCTGACTGTTTGCAACCTCATGGACTGTAGCCCGCCAGGCTCCTTCATCCATGGGATCTTCCAGGCAAGAACAGTGGAGTGGGCAGCCATTCCCTTCTCCAGGGGATCTTCCTAATCCAGGGATCAAACCCAGGTCTCCTGCATTGCAGGTGGATTCTTTACCATCTGAGCCACTAAGGAAGCCCACTATGGGGTGACTGGGCTTCATCAAGGCTATCATCTAAATGAGATGAGAAACTGGGAAAAAGTATGCTGAAAAAGCAAAGTGACAGAAAAGATTCCCTTACTGGTCAATTTTGATTAAAAAAAAAAAATTGACTTCTTAAATCTGGACAAAGAAAATCACATACCACCCTTGGAACTTCAACTAGCCTTCCTAAACCACCAAACAGAAGGAATTCCACTTTTGGGAGAAGCAAATGAAACAAAAATCCTCTTCTGACACAACCTAGAATTTTGCTTCAGGTCAAATGACCTCAGGGTACTATGAACTAGTGCTTGCTCTGCAATAGTTAAAAGACCAGGGGATTTAGGAGACTGGAAATCATTCATGCAGTTTTTGGTCTTTCTACTTAATTGACATCCACTTATTAGAGGCCATCTAGTAGTTTACAAAGCCTAAAGTAATTAGGCCCTCAAAGATACATGAGGAAGGAGGAGACAGGGAGGTGAGAGGGATGCAGATTTACTGACTTCTTGGTCCTCTGGAGATCATGAGAGAAGAGACCTATAAAAAGTCTGTGCTAATTCTTCTTATGCTGATGAAATATGAGGTCTAACGGGCTGTCACACTCTTACAAATCAAGCTTGACTATTTCTCACCCTCACTTCTCACAGTCAGTAAGTCCAATCTGTATGACCTCTGAAATAGCTCTAGAATCTATCTGCCTCTCTCCAGCCCAAGTCACTGCTGCTTGGACAACATCAAAATCCTCCAATGAGTCCTAGTACATTCACCATTGCCCCCTCTATTCTCTTTTGAGGCTGCCATTATGACCCAGGTGCTCTACAGGGCCCTCCATGATCTGCTCCACCCAAGCCTCCAGCCTCATCTCTGTAACTCTCCATCTTAGTACTCCACCTCCAGTAACACTGACCCTCTAGCATCGCACAGCATTCAACACATGCCACTCCCTTTTCCCCCAACTTTGGGCATAGTGAACACTTCACTGACTTTCAGGTTCCCGTTAAAGCAACCCTTCCTCAGCGCTGCCTGCTCTGATGGTAAGACTATGTGAGCAATTTGTGTCAAGCTCTCAGAGCACATTGGTGAATTCATCACACAATTAGTTTCTTATTCATCACCAGACTGTGGGAACCATATCTGTCCATCTTCATCTCAGTATCCCTAGTGCTCAGCAGAGACCACAGCATAGAATCCACTTTCAATGAAGAACTACTGAATGACATTTAAATATCATCTAAGAAAGGAGAAAAGAAAATGTAAAGGTTAACAGGAAGCTTGATCAATGCTCTCTGGGCCCCTCATACTTCAAGCAAATAGTGTTAACACTGAGAAATACTAGACTTTTTCACTTCTCTCCAACGCCAGAAGTGTTAGCCCAGTTCCCGAAAGAGTGATTTTGACGTGCAGGACCTACTTTCTTGGTATGATAGAACTTCTTTTTGTCCTAAATTCACTTTTCCTTGGCTTTTAAGGAGCTCTGCTTCTGGTAAATTTATTTCTGGTAAATTCTATGATCATCTAACCCATATTCTTCATGGATTTATTAAACTCTAATCATATTTCTTCTCAGTCTTTTCAAGTCTGAGAAGTCCTAATTATTTCTGTGTGCCTTCATATAGCAAACCCCTCCCACTCCTCCATCAGATTAGTGACTTTTCTCTGGCCTTACTTGCACTCCATTTCGCCTCTTCTACAAGATTAATGACTACAACTACAAAAAGTATCCTAGATGCCAGTACATCACATCCCGGATTTGACGGAAGGTTGGCTGATGATATCAGACTTTTTGCAAACTTTTTCTTACCCATAAAAGAAAGAAGTCCCCTGAACTCATGATGAGAGTTTTCCTGAGAGACAGATATATGTATGTATGCGTTCCCTCAAAGACTGGCCAGCTATGCACTAAGAAGAGCTCTGCCAAGTTCAGCTATGACAGATAACACGACTAGTCTCTCTTACTGGGTTGCTTTGATCTTTTCGGGAAAAGAGGAGAGAGACCCTATTCCTGCTCTGAACACCCCCATTTGTGCTCAGCTCCTGTACCGAAATTCCCCTGAACTCTCTCTTGAAAAGAAGACTTGCCCACCTACCCTGGCTGAAATGATCATCAATCTTAAATACAAGATGAAATTGCAGGTGACTGACTGCTGTATCAGGTGACTGATAAACTAGCCAATCTGATCACATGGACCACACCCTTGTCTAACTCAATGAAACTAGGCCATGCCATGTGGGGCCAACCAAGATGGATGGGTCATGGTGGAGAGTTCTGACAAAATCTGGTCCACTGGAGAAGGGATGGCAAACCACTTCAGTATTCTTGCCTTGAGAACCCCATGAACAGTATGAAAACACAAAGATATGACACTGAAAGGTGAACTCTCCAGGTCAGTGGGTGCCCAATATGCTACTGGAGATCATGGAGAAATAACTCCAGAAAGAATGAAGACACAGAACTAAAGCAAAAACAACACCCAGTTGTGGATGTAACTGGTGACGGAAGCAAGGTCCGATGCTGTAAAGAGCAACATTGCATAGGAACCTGGAATGTTAGGTCCATGAATCAAGGCTTCCAGTCAAATTGGAAGTGATTAAACGGGAGATGGCAAGAGTGAACACTGACATTTTAGGAATCACTGAACTAAAATGGACTGTAGTGGGTGAATTTGACTCAGATGGCCATTATATCTACTACTGTGGGTAAGAATCCCTCAGAAGAAATGGAGGAGCCATCACAGTCAACAAGAGTCCGAAATGCAGTACTTAAATGCAATCTCAAAAACAATGGAATGATCTGTTTGTTTCCAAGGCAAACCATTCAATGTCACATTAATCCAAGTCTATGCCCCGACCAGTAGTGCTGAAGAAGCTGAACTGATCTATGAAGACCTACAAGGACTTCTAGAACTAACACCCAAAAAAGATCTCCTTTTCATTATAGGGGACTGGAATTCAAAAGTAGGAAGTCAAGAAACACCTGGAGTAACAGGCAAATTTGGCCTTGGAGTACAGAATGAAACAGGACAAAGACTAATAGGGTTTTGTCAAGAGAATGCACTGGTCATAGCAAACACACTCTTTCAACAACACAAGAGAAGAATCTACACATGGACATCACAGGATGGCCAACACCGAAATCAGATTGATTATATTCTTTGCAGCCAAAGGTGGAGAACCTTGATAAGAGTCAGCAAAAAGAAGACCAGGAGCAGACTGTGCTCAGATCATAAACTCCTTATTGCCAAATTCAGACGTAAATTGAAGAAAGTGGGGAAAACCACTAAACCATTCAGGTATGACCTAAATCAATCCTTATGATTATACAGTGGAAGTGAGAAACAGACTTAAGGGACTAGATCTGATAAAGTGCCTGATGAGCTATGGACAGAGGTTCATGACATTGTACAGGAGACAGGGATCAAGACCATCCCCCAAAAAAGAAATGCAAAAAAAAAAATGGTTGTCTGAGGAGGCCTTACAAATAGCTGTGAAAAGAAGAGAAGCAAAAAGCAAAGGAGAAAAGGAAAGATATTCCCATTTGAATGCAGAGTTTCAAAGAATAACAAGGAGAGATAAGAAAACCTTCCTCAGTGAGCAATGAAAAGAAATAGAGGAAAACAGTAGAATGGGAAAGACTCGCGATCCTGTCAAGAAAATTAGAGATCCCAAGGGAACATTTCATGCAAAGATGGGCTCAATAAAGGAAGAAATGGTATGGACCTGACAGAAGCAGAAGATATTAAGAAGAAGTGGCAAGAATACACAGAAGAACTGTACAAAAAAGATCTTCACAAGCCAGTTAATCACGATGCTGTGATCACTCACCTAGAGCCAGACATCCTGGAATGTGAAGTCAAGTGGGCCTTAGAAAGCATCACTACGAAC